ATTTGTTGTGTGAACACCTAGCTCATACTATGACCCTACATCATGCTATTGGCATTAATTATACAAAAAATTGCATAACAAAACTGTAAAATTAATATACTTACCATTAGGAGTTGTGAAAATGAGTACGGCATTGACATTGGCACTGGCTTTGGCATTGGCATTGAATATTGATGTTGAGGAGCTGGTGGAACCTCTCCTGTTATGTTGTTCGATCGCGCTTTCATGTAGAAAAGAACGAAATTGGTATTGCTGTATAAAATAAAGTGGAAAAAAAACGTTGAATCGTACGAATATACCTTGGACTTCTTAGCGCTCGCCTCCAATGGGCCTTTTATACGTTTTGTCTTCGGGGCTCCCTTTCTCTTGGACAATATAGGATCCCTCACAATCTCGTTGCTTTGATTTTGAGATGCAACACCCTACAAATTGGTATTACTATCGGAACTTGACTTCGTCAATCTAAGCTCTTTATTTTGAATCCAATCCATGATAGCACGATACCTTCCTTTATCATTCGCTGCAATGTCTGCCACCATGGCAAATGCCTGACACATCTCGTCATACCTCAATTGTCCAGGAGTACTAACCATACCGACATAATTCATGACGACCCGCGTGTGTTCTCTACTAACATCCCTCCTTTATATGCGTAGTAAATACCGATCCGGTATCACAGTCACCTCATTGCACTACAATCGCATGCTTACACACTATACCCCGAAATTCGAACAGGTGACAACTGCAGAAGATTAAATAGTTCTCTCTATTAAATGGCACCTGAAAAAATTTTCTCCGTCGTCGATCGCCACAAATGGCGTCCTTACGTACCTGATACGTTGTCCCCAAATGTCCTTCTGAAGCAGAGATGAGGGCATAGTAAACATTCCCTGTGAACTCGACCTGAACTTCCCTAAACTTCGAAAGGGTGTACAATTCCTGATATTGCTTTTCCATTTCGTATGTGGTTGCACACGGTATCATTTGAGAGAAAGATCTGAAATCAGCCTGAAATTCCTTTTCTACCTTATTCCGCATGGCTGCTCATACTATTCGACGAACTACTTCAACGATATCTTCGAATGCACATAACTATCGAAGAAGGCATTCATACTTTTACTTCTTTGCGTTGTTCACATACTAGCTCAGAAAGTTTTTTTCAACAAACATGGCATCCAACGACCTCTATTCTCGTACAATCTGGATAACCAAGCGTTATCACGTAAGTCATAGGTATCGATCATCACTCTCCAACCTTCATCAAATTCTTCAACAAATTGTGCATCATAAACCAATACAAGCATATCCGAAAAGATCGAAACCTTATCCACATGATATCCAAACTTAGTAAGGTAGGTTGTATCAAATGTCACAACATCCCCGAACTCTTTATATGCTTGCCTGCACCGATTGTCAGCCCAGAAGACATTTTTCAAGCACGAATCATCATCCAAGTCATTACTAAAGTAAAATCCGGAGCAGCGGGATTGCATTTCAGAAAAGTAAGACTGTATTGCAGTTGCATCACCCTCACCCAGTCTTAGCCGTCTTACTTCTTTGATATAATTCCGACAATCATTTTCAATACAAGTCATGTTCTCGTAGCTACTGGTCTCAACAACTACGGAGTTAAAACTTTTATGTAATGGTATTCCTGCTACATTATTCACTTTGAGCTTTCGTTTCACGTATGCACTAAGATTTCGGTTGTATCGATACAACCTGGACTTAGTAGGACTCATCTTATGATTGTGGTCAAGGTGAACCGAGTTAATCTTTCGGTAACCATGTATATCTAACGATGCAGAGATCCTAGCTTTACAACCCATCTGAATTGTTGGTTGCGACTTCAAAGAAGTGCTTGTAGTACCAATTCTTCGTCCCTCCTGACTATACGTCAATGTGTCAAATCTCAAAACACCGTCATCATCTCTCGTCGAACTCCTCTTCCTAACTGGAAAACCTACTACATAAGCATATCTTACATAAAAATCACACACTTCTTTTCATTCTTGAACTGCATGCCAACTTCAGGCACAGTGATTCCATCTTTTCCTATTGTTTCATCCTCCGCAACATTCAATGTGTCCTCCACATTCTCATTTTCGGATTCGACAGACAAAACATATTTCACATTTGGATCATCCTGCAAGAGGCTGTGGAGTTTATTCCAATCCAAAAGGTTGAGGAGTTTAAACATGGCTTAAATAATGATTTCTTTGTCTTGAGTTCACATTCATTGAACCAAATAATCAATGTTCTGAAAAATAATATAAAATCAATCCAAAAAATGAACCATATATGTGAGTTCAACATACCATTAAGATACAACTACTTTTAAAATGTCACATATTTAGGAGCAGGGTCACAACTCAATTTCCTATTTTATGATTTCTTAAAGTTCACAGCGATTAATTTCATGATGAAGATTTCCTATTTCAATGCTTAGGTTAGGTTACCCAATTTCTTAAAGTTCACAGCTCTTTCAATGCTCAATTTCCTATTTCACGCTGAAGATTTCCTACATAGCTTAGGTTACCTAATTAAATCAACCCCAAACTCCAGTTCAAAGTTTCAGCCGAAACAAGTTACAACACATTTCACATTTACAGCATTTATGGCCGGAGTGGAGAAAATGCTAAATAACATAGAAATTCATACTGTCATTTGTAATGACCCGGTTCCGAAGATGAAGAATATGGTTGGAATGGAAGAACAGAAATCTCAGCCTAATTCTTCGGTCAAATTTTTGCCTCTGTATATAGTGAACATGAAGAACGAGCTTGTTCAAATATCGGAGAAAATGGGTTTGGAGGAGGAAACTATAGGCTGGTGTGCAGGGTTTGGGAGGAAATGGGTTTGGAGGAAGAGATGCCGAAAGAGAAAATGGATGTAGCTGCAGACAGAGATTTTAATTTTTTCCTCACCCATTTCCCATTTTGGCGTCCTCAGCTTCTTGTAAAATGAAATCACAGCCGTCCACTTCCAAACTGATCCCCACCCTACACGTCAATTTGTCAACAACTTTTGTCAAATAACTTGGTACAAATAGCATTTTTGGTTAATAATTACTTGTGTAATTACCTCTAACAAAATCATTTCTATAATAGTTAAAAGAAAATATACATTGTTCATTATTCTGTTAGCAAATTATTATGTTCAAATTTAATAAAATAATAGAGTTCATGTCATATTGAGGGTGACAATGATTATAGGAGTTTATGGTTTATTGAATCTCACCTTATAGGGCTTGTGTGGGAGGGATTAAAATCAGATTAAAATTGAAAATATAGTCGTTATTGTTGACTTTTATTAGACGAATGGGGCCCAATAACGGCCATATTTTCAATTTTAATTGGCTTTTAATCCCTCCCGAACGGGGCCATAATAATTGATCTACAGTATTAGTTATTGAATCGTGAGAATGTTGATGTTATATGTAATGTGGATGAATACAATGATTTTTTAAAATCTTGAACTTGTATTAGGGATGTATTTAGAGTGGTATGAATTTAGGAATGTTATAGTGTTTAAATGAATAAATTCAATAAGGAAAATATTAAAATGTGAAGTTAATAAAAATATTAATTTTTTAAGGAGTAATGCTATTTACATCATGAATGATAGAATATCGATGATATGAAAATTCATTATCCTTCACATTTCTCTTTCCTTTGAGACCACATCCCCTCTTCTCTCATAAAAAATGAATTGTCAAATCTTATTATTCCACATAAATTACCAAATTATCGATGTTTTATCACTATAATAATAAATAATATTATTATTTTTTCAAAATTTTAATAGGAATAAATATAGAGTAAGATAAATATAATAACGCCTCCATAAACAAATAGTGCATCCTCTATTTAAAATAAACTGAACCACGTGTAAAAATTTTCAAATCACGTTTATTCAAGAATTATTGCACTAGTAGCTCATCCATGAGCTAAACCCTTCAAATGGAAAACAACCGGCGCCGTATTTCATTGGATTGACCTCTAAAAGAATAGGGTTTTGATTTTTGAAGCGATAAACATTGAAAATTTTGAAAAAAGCAAAAGGTTGAATGGTCAAAAAGCACGGACTGCAGACTGAGAAAAGTAGCAAAAGAATTGGTCCCATTGCTATATAAAATGTCCCTTTGTTGATTGACAAACACCGAATACCCAAAACAGAAAAACCGAAAAAAATTCTACTCAGGAAAAGTATTTTACTCAGGATTCATCAATCGGTATGCAATCTGAATTTCTTCAGTATATTTTTATCCTTTTCTTGGTTATTATATTTCAATTACTGGGTTGTTTTGTCTGATGTTCTGTTCAATCTATTGACAGTTCTTATTTTCAATTTTCTCTCTAGGATTTGTTTCCATGACTCTTCTATAAATTTCCTGGGAAATGTGTAAAACGTAAATAGGGTTCATCCAATATTATCTTTTTTTTTTCTTTTTTTTCTTCTAATCCTAGTTTGTTTTTCTAGATCTCATTATGCAATGGGGATGGTTAACGATTTTTACTTTTTACTTTATAATTTTTCAGGAGTGATCAATAACTAAGAGTTTTGGAAATCTTAGCGTATTTTCAGTTTTATATTTGGTTTTTGTTTCTATCTTCAAGATATTGTTCAATCATCGTTGATTTCATCGTATGTGAAATGTGTTTTCCGCATCTTTACCCAGCTCGTAGAAAATTTCACAAACTTACTAGATATAGTTTTACTGTCTCAATTTGATTCTGAATCTACATAATATGGATTAAATGTTGGACGAAAGGGAGTGTTTATATTGATTATGGGATCGCTTTTTGGTTGATTACGTTGCACTACTTGCTAATCATGATAAGGCCCAGACTAATTTGAGATTTTGCATTTTTATAGTTTGGGGTTTTTTTAATGCCTTGCTCTAACTTATGACTGTTTCAGGTGGGTCATCCTACTTCTTGATCTGAGGAGACAAATACGGTGAGAAAACCCGTTTTGTGTTGTACATTATAGTAAACATGGCTTCAGCAAATGTAGCTCCTGCATCTGGTACTAGAGAACCCGGTGGAAATACTGCTGGTCTAGATAGGTTACCCGATGAGATGGATGATATGAAGCTTAGGGACGACAAGGTAGATGACCCGGTCTTTTCTTTTTTATTATTCACTAGTCCAACGAATGTTTGTTACTCTTATTGTAATCCTTACGTTATGCACCATTCTTATCAATGTCAGGATATCGAACCAACTTTTGTAGACGGTAACGGCACAGAAACTGGCCATATAATTGTGTCAACAATTAGTGGTAGAAATGGGCAGCCAAAGCAGGTAATATTTGGCATCTTAGTTTTTATATTATGCAACACTTAATAGGCTTGTTCTCCGTTTTAATGATTTACATGTGCTTTGTTAGACGGTAAGTTATATGGCTGAGCGTATAGTGGGACAGGGATCTTTTGGAGTAGTGTTTCAGGTATGCTGTTTGTACTTTTGTACTGTACTTCAAATGTTTACAAGTTTTTCAATTACAAGGCTTCGGTGAGATGATTGATTTGGTGTTCTTAAACCTTCTACAATATGGCTGTGCAGGCAAAATGTTTAGAGACGGGTGAAACTGTTGCAATTAAAAAGGTTCTTCAAGACAAGAGGTACAAGAACCGTGAGCTACAAACTATGCGTCTCATAGACCACCCTAATGTTGTGTCTTTAAAGCACTGCTTCTTTTCAACAACTAAGAAGGATGAGCTTTACCTCAACTTGGTATTGGAGTATGTTCCTGAGACTGTTCATAGGGTGATTAGACATTATAGCAAGATGAACCAGAGAATGCCAATGATATATGTCAAATTGTATGCTTATCAGGCACGTTCACTTCCATTGCTAATGTTTATATTTTGGTCTAGCTTTTGTATTTAATTTTAATGCATCATTCAGATAAACTTGTTCTCTACCAGTTGAGCCATTCTTATTCATTCATTTTTCGTGCAGATTTTTAGAGCACTGGCTTACATCCATGGTAGTATTGGGGTATGTCACAGGGACATTAAGCCTCAAAATGTACTGGTGAGTTAATGAAGCATTTGTGCCGGCAGAGTGCAATGACGAGCAAACCCCAAACCCCTTCCTCTTTACCCGCTTCACGAAAAAGAATTTCATTCTCATTAATTGCCATGTTGTCTTTGATTCACAGGTTAATCCACATACTCATCAGTTGAAACTATGCGACTTTGGAAGTGCAAAAGTCTTGGTTGGTATCATTACTTTTCTCCAATCGATATATTTTCCCATATTTAATATCCCGGTGCAATAATATAACTTTTTAATTGGCTTAATTTATAGGTTAAAGGAGAGCCAAACATTTCATATATATGTTCTAGATATTATCGGGCTCCAGAACTGATATTTGGTGCAACAGAGTACACTACCGCCATTGACATCTGGTCTGCTGGATGTGTATTGGCTGAGTTATTGCTGGGACAGGTTTGTAAATCAGTTCTTTACATTAGTCTTTCCTCAATTTAAAAAAAGTTATATGTTCAGATTCTGATAAGAAATTTTCCATGGAAATTTCAGCCCCTTTTCCCTGGTGAAAATGGAGTGGATCAGCTTGTTGAAATTATCAAGGTAATTATGAGCAGAGCAATCCTTCTTTTGTGGATTTACTAGTTTGGTCTATATATATATATATATATAT